ATTCCAAAATATATTATGAAATTTTCCAAAAGACATTTGGCGACTGTTCTTGCCTTTTGATTTGGCGTTGGAATGGCAATAGCAAACTTGGTGAAATGGTCTGTCAGCACAAGAATGTCTTTGGTATTGCTGCTATCAGGCTCAATACTGAGGAAATCCATACAAATGAGTTCCAAAGGACGTGAAGTCTGAATGTTGACCAATGGAGCCGCTCTTTCTGGCAAACTTTTCCGCCGAACACAACGTCCACATGTTTTTATTTTCTTCTCCACCTCCATAGCCATTCTTGGCCAATAGAATCGAGCCCTAACAAGGTCCAGGGTTCGCTCCACTCCCAGATGGCCCATCTCATTATGGAGACTATGGAGAACAGATTGACGAAGGTCTGCTGGAAGGACCAGTTGGTATTTATATTGTTCATGTTCCTGGCGTTTTCTGTACAGAATGCCATCAATCATCTCCAGTTTAGTTAATTCCCTAAGGAGAAGAGAAAGTTCTGGAAGTTCACCCCTGATTATTGAAGGAATCTTTTCACCAGTCTCCAACTGATGGATTACTTCCCTAATACTAGGATCAGCTCTCTGATGGTCTTGTAGGTCTGCATGAGACATCACAGGAACAACAGGAAGTCCATGTGAATCTTCAGAGTAGTCCACAGGAATTATATCTGCACTGACTGAGAGCGATTCAACCAAAAGACTTTCAACTCTGGTCCGAACTAGACGACTTTGGCAAATTGCATCAATCACTTCAGGTAATATCTCATCGTTAGTGCTGCTTAAAAGATGTTGTTTGAGCAAACTGAGAAATGAGTTCCTGATCTTTATGTTCAACCTCATCTGTCACAGATTTTTCACAGGGACGACGGGAAAGTGCATCAGCATCTAGATTGTGTTTCCCTGCTCGATACTGCAACTTAAAGGAGAAAGTAGAAAGTGCAGCCAGCCAACGATGACTGGTAGCATCCAACTTAGCTGATGTCAAAATATAAGTAAGGGGATTACTATCAGTGACCACTGTAAAATCCGCTCCATACAAAAAATCGTGAAACTTTTCTGTTACACTCCACTTTAGTGCTAAGAATTCAAGTTTGTGAGCTGGATATCGACTTTCACTGGCTGACAACCCCCGGCTAGCATAAGCTATTACCCTGAGCTTCCCTTCCTGCTCCTGGTAGAGGGCAGCACCCAGTCCTGTGGTGCTGGCATCTGTGTGAAGGATGTAAGGTAATACAGGATCAGCAAACCCCAAGACTGGTGCAGTAATAAGTTTGTCAATCAGAGTATTAAAAGCCAACTGACACTCAGGAGTCCATCTGGAACCAAAGAGTTGCTTTGGATCAAACTGTGAGCACTTAGATTGTGCTCTTGAGGTTTTATTAGTTGATGGGTACCCACGGGTCAGATTGTTAAGAGGCTTGGCAATAGTAGCATATCCTTTTATGAAACGCCTATAATAGCCAGTAAATCCCAGAAAAGATCTCAGAGTTTTCAAATTGGTAGGAATTGGCCAGGATTTCACTGTAGAAATCTTTTCTGGGTCTGTCTCAACACCTTCCTCTGAAACAATGTGGCCCAAATATTTGACAGATGTTTTGGAAAAATTTACATTTTTCCAGGGAGAGTTTTAATCCAAACTCTTTCAGACGATTTAGAACTCTGAGTAAACGGGTTTCATGTTCTTCAAGACTGTTAGAAAATATGATCAAATCATCCAAAAAAACCAAAACCTCTTTCAAATGCAGGTCACCCATACATTTCTCCATCAATCTCTGAAATGTTGATGGTGCATTAGTAACCCCTTGAGGCATCCGATTAAACTCCCAGAACCCAAGTGGAGTAACAAAAGCGGTCTTCGCTTTATCAGTTTCATTCATTTCAATCTGATAATAACCAGATTTCAGGTCAAGCACAGAGAACCATTTTGATCCTCTAAGTGCTGTAAATGATTCCTCCAGATTAGGCAAAGCATATGCATCCTTGACAGTTTGTAAATTAAGTTTACGGTAGTCAATGCACAGCCTTATGTCTCCATTTTTCTTTTTAACAACAACAATTGGAGATGAAAAAGGTGATTCGGATTCTCTAATAACACCAGCATCCAGAAGTTCACGTAAATGTTTACGAACAGCCTCTATGTCTTGTGGGTGAATTGGTCTCGCACGATGTTTAAAGGGGTGTTATCATGAAGATTAATGTGATGTTTCACTTGCTTGGTACAACCAAAATCTAAATCATGATGGGAGAAAACTTCAGGTATGGCATTTAATTTTGTAATGATTCTTTCCTTCCATTCTGATGGTATTGGTGACTCACCAAAATTGATGTTCAAAGGTGCTGTTGATGTCTCCTTAGCTGTATGATTGATCTCATCGTGCTCTGAAATGATACTTGCATAGGCTTCCAGTTCAGCAATGATATTTGAAGCAGATATGGAAGTGGCTTGCTTTGTTTCATTGGAGACAACAACTGGAACCTTATTGAGTAAACCAGCTTGAAGTGCAACCAAACAACTACTAACAACGAGGCTACCCGGCAGGCCTGAAACTGGGTGCCGAACAATAGCACACTGACTGGCCGCACGAGACAGTTTGGCACAACCCTCAACCACCACTGTGCAACCAGCTGGAATAAGTACAGGGGTTTTACTGTTGAGTGTCACAACACCTAAATGGTTACCACAGTTCTGCTGATGCATTAACTGATGCAGAACTGTTTTAAACCCATATGAAGCAGGTTGAAATGTTGGACAGTCACTGGAACAAAATTTTTCATAGAGAATTTCAAGTGTGTTCATGCCAATTAATACTGAAACTGGAAATCCAGGTCTCACATCAGGGACAACCAAAGCAAGGGTTTCAACTGTTAATTCACTACCAATGAAGTCTTTTGGAAATGTTATTGGTACTTCAACATAACCCAAATAGGGAACATGTTGACCTGCAGCCCCTTCAACATGAAGTAGATCATTTAGCGAGTGAACTGGATAATCTGAAAGATGCTCATTAAAGAAAGAAACAGGAATTGTAGTAACTTGAGAGCCGGTATCCAGAAGACATTGAGAGTTGTAGCCAGCAATATTGACTTCTGCTGTACATCTGGAGCCGATCAATCCCTTTGGCAAGTTAGTTTTAGTTCTTGTCTGCAATTTAGCACACTCAACAGACGCTCTCTCTGCGGGACAAGATTGGTCCAATTCAGCTCCTGTTTGCCCCTCAACAGGAACTGGAACTAGTTTAAATGTCCTGAAGTAGAGGGATTTTGTCTCCGTCTCTTCTGTTTTATCATAAAACAATTTCCGCTTTGCACTGACCAATACTGGATTGGGCTCATTGTCACATTGAGGCTTAATGTGGCCATCCTCTCCGCAACGGAAACAAAACCCAGGTTTAGAGCTAGAATTGCTGAGATTTACATCCTTAACAGGTTTTTTCACATTAGGCTTTGAAGTAACTTTTGCAGCAAAAGGTAACTTAGTGCTCATCTGACCTGTTGTTAAAGAAGTGAGCTGCTGCTGTATTGCTGCCATCTGTTGTGAAAGCTGTTTAGTCATGTTATTCAAAGCAACACACAGGTTAGTTTCCTGATCAGTATGTGCAAACTGGACTTGAGATGCAACTTTCTGTCTAGTGCTCCCCAAGTGGTGCTTCATCCTTAAAGTCTTTGCTGTTTCCCTGTCCTCTTCAGTTCTAAGCAGCAACAACAACTCAGCAAATGAAGGTGGATTATTTTTTTTCTGTTTGAGTTGAAGTTCTGATATTAGATTGTTGTCCCAACATCCTCTACAAAATTGGGTCAACAGTCGTGCATCCATGTCCTTCTCCAAAACACCTCCTCTCTTTACTGCATGCTGTAGCACAACTTTCAGACGCTGCAAATAAGCAGATGGCTTTTCTCCGCTATCCTGATAGGTGTCCATAAATTTAACATACAACTCCTCTCCATCTTGAACAGTTCCATAAGCTGAATCAAGTTGTTGCATGTACACCTTTGGCAATGTATCAGGACTTAAATGTTTCACTATATCACAGGCAGGTGGAAGAAGACTATCACGAATTAGTCTGGTACATTGCAACTGTGACATAGAAGAATCTTGAAGAATTAGATCAACACTAGCCCGCCATGTGTCATAGTCTGTCTCATGACTTGGCCTCGGGACTTTTCCAGAGAATACTCTCAGTCTATGAGATGTATGCATATGCAGAGAGTTGTCCCCACTCCTGACAACATGCTCCACAATGTAGCGTTGCACCTCAGGAGGATTAAGGTCACCAGCAGAAATTAACGTGGACTGCTTCTCCTGACCTTGTGCTTCAGTTCTGATGGAGACAGAAGAACTGGATGGAAGAGGATCTGACTGTAAATGGGATGACAAAGGAAAAGGGAGTCGAGTTGTGGCATGAGCTGATGGCTGCTGTGCTTCATCTGCTTCTGCAGGTTGTTCTTCTTTTGCCTTCACTGGCACCACAGGACAAAACTCTGAAACAGACTGCTGTATCTGGGACATCACTTCTGTGAGGACTTCAGCATAATTTTTCCAGACAGCTTGGCAATTTCTTGTAAATCCGCCAAATACTTGTTTGTCTTTAAGCCACCAACCTTTGAGGCATAAATCTCAGATAAACTTTCAATATGAAATTTATCACCCTCACTTGATGTAAATATATAGGGTAATATTGGAGATAAGCGTGCTAAAGATAATCCAGAATCATATTCAACAGCCAACCTTTGATCAAATTCTGATTCACGTAAATCTATGGTAGTTTTCTGCTTAATACTACCATACTGTTCAAGAAAATCAATAAGCTCATCAGTGGGGTTCTCTGAGACTCCATCAATCAATACTGTATTAGAGATTTTTAGACCAAAAGTTTCAAAAACTTCCATGATGAAAACTGAATTGGTGAGTATGAACCAGACTTATTTGTGCAACTCAATTCAACGGCTTTCTATTGATTACTGATCAAACAGCTCCTGGCTAGCTCACCAATAATGTAGCAGTATTTAATGTAGCACAAGACTAAGTAGCATCTGAGATCAGAAGACTAAATTCATCTACTGGAGCTGTTGTCAGTAATCAAACGAAACAAAAGAATAATTGCTTTCAATACTATGTATTTTAAAGAAAAGTAAACATTACAAGACAAAACATACAAAACAAAAACACAATAAATATATACACAGCACTGCAGTAAATCTTCTATATAATTGTGCACAAAAGTCCTTCACTTTTCCCCGCCTGGTCAGTACAATGTCTGACCGACACACATTTAAAAGTCCATTGTGTGTTTTTTCCAGATATTCAAGAGGAGAATGTCCAAGCGCAATTTGTGTCCGATGAAAAGATGAATAATGAAGTGTGTCTATGTAGTGAGATGGAGGGGGAAATATTGTGGACCATCAGCCTCCTACCAGACCAGTATGGAGTCAATTTCAGGTTCTCCTGGCTCCAGCCAGTTATCAGAAGCTCACCATCCTTTAACCCAAAAAGGGTCACCTGGCCTGTATTGAAATAAACAGGTCCAGTAAATTACCATCCTGCTAGTTAACTAGACTGTTTTTTCAGTTATATCCAGAAATAAATACAATCATATCCACAATCAAATCTTTAAAACAACTTAAAGATATCAGCATTCATTTCATTATCTTAAATACATGTTTAGAATTTAAAAGTTAGATGGTATATTTCATAAACAATTAGCATTGGATACCACCACCAACAAAACATATTCATTACTCACCAATTCCATTTATAGATCGCTGTATGAGAACTTCCTGGCTCCAAGCTCACTGGATACCCAGATCTACGTAATTTTTATATTGTGAGGTTTTAAAAGTGCATAACAACAAAGAGATCAACTAATTGTTTGGAAACACAAACCTGCAGCTCCTTTGTCTCCAGCTCTCCCCCTCACACCTGATTGGGAAAAGCTGGAGCAGGCCTAAAAAACACTCCAGGTGCAATGATTGGCTGACTACTCTGTGTGATTGACTATCACGCCAACCAATGGAGCAACAAAGGCGGGATTAAGGGCAGTTTTTACCCTGGGTTACATACAACATCTTTGAAAATTTTGTCTCAAAACCATACTAGTCTTGAATGGTACAATGATGATTAGAAGGTTGATTAAAGGTTATTCCTGGTTGGATTACTTGCAACTTGCATGAATTAGGAAGCCAATCCTCTCTCTTTTTGAAAGAAAATAAACTCTCCTCGACTTTTTAAGCCATATTTCTTACAAGATAGTTGCTTGGATGCAAATCAACAGCACACATTTTCTACGTTTCATTTTCCACACTCAGGGTTAGTGGCAGTCAGGTTTTTGCACCCGATGTTCATTCTCTCGTTCGTTTGTAGGTGTTTGTTACTGGCTTACCTTCCTTCAGTCTTACCCTTGCCCCGATAGTCTTGTTTGAGTTTTTCATTTGGTCAGCTAAGGGCCAGAGGCCAGAACAACAAAGCTCTTTGGTTTATTTTAAACAAACAGCCTAAAGAAACAGGAAAGACGTCCACAGAATACAGACTAGTTTTACCAGCGACAGCTGATTTATCATTTCTGGCTTGGCATTTTTCCCTTCTAATGTTAGAGTGAGAATAGAACTGGAAGAGAACAGAGGCTTAATATTTAATCTCTTTAAATGTATTTAGAGCTCAGATTACACAATAACAAATCCCAACCGATTTGCCAGGCAAACAAGTTATAAATCAATATCTAATTAATGAGGAGAGTATAAATCACTGCAGGCCCTCATTTAAATCAATAGTGGTATTTCCTCCAAGTGATTATGGCAAAATGCCCCCAATCTGCCACCAACTGTTGATTTGCTGACACTGCAGCTACAGTACATAAGCTGCCATAACAGAACATCAATTAACATGTTCACCTGAAAGAAAATAAAAAAAGAAACAATGGACAAGTATTTGTGTGTTTTGCCTTTTTGAATTACAAGCAAATCTGGAAAATTGGCAAGATTATATCATCAACAGTCTGATTTATTTTACTTTCTGTTCCTCACCTCTAATATGATTTCAACTGTGTGCGTCCTACCACAGCTCATCTCTTATTGAACCATCTGAATGCTAAATAATTTGACTACTGTCCCTTTTTCCCTAAGCCATAACCATCCACATATTACATTGTGCAAAACCACTTTCCCCAGCTCCTTTCAGGCAGTCAGACACGGGATGTGCAGAGAGAAGGGGGTATAGAAGTATCTCAGTACATTTATTTTTAACTGGGCTGTTGATGTGCAATTCACACCATATATCTTTAACAACTTAAGATGCCTATGCATGCAAATAAATCAAAACAAATAAATCCATAACTAAAGTCATGTATAATAAAATGGAATGGCACAAGAGATAACCATGCAAAAGAACTTGCAGAACAGGTATTCAAAGCAAGTAAAATCACTTAAATGTGTTATTTTACATAAGCAATCCTATTATCTGTCAGTACCAGTTAAATCAGGTTTGATCCTGATTTATGGCTTTTAAAAATAGATACCATGGATTTGGATAACAAATATTTGATGATAGATAAAGAAAAAGGGCTCTCTCCGGACTTTCACCTTGTGTTGCTAAACAATACATCATTATCTCAACATAAACTGTATATAATTTATCCATAAGCCATCCATGATCAGGTGCTAAGATTTCTGACAGAGGAATGATAATAAAAGAAATATAAGAAAAGGCATCAGAGTCAAAGACCGACTGTATGTTTTTTTCTACAATCTGCAAGGGTGGCCTTTATGCCAGCTCACTCCACAAAACTACACTCCTGAAGAGAAGATCAAGGAAATATATTTTGCAGTACATAATTTGAACAAATCGGTAAAATATTGGGAGAACAGCGCGGACAGATAAAAGGGCAAATTTGACTGATTGTATACACCATATTTGGAGGTAGAATGTTGGTGAATATCACCACGAAAACAATGAAGTGTAGATTTGGGAGCATATGGTATTTGCAGACTTCATCTGATTATTGAAAGAGGGAAAAGAGAAATATACCGGTATATTCTATTTAAGGATCTCACGATGAAACAATCTGGATGTTGCAGCAGGAAAATAGACCTGACTTGAATTTAATTGTAAGAGAACTACATAAATAATGATCATACTGTGCAAAGATTGTCATCAGAAAGTTCAGTATTTTAAGACTTTTTGTGTTAAATAATGGGCCGAAATCACATCTAAGCTTATTCACAAAGCAGATGTGTTGTAGTTTTACTGCACAAAATATCGAATCTATCATTTGTTAAAGATTCTTTCTATATGTATTACTTGAGTTATTTCAGATATCACTATTCTTATCAAAAAAAATGTTTCAGATGAAAAGTGCTTTTGTTGCTTTACGCTGGAAATTAGATACACGTTGCTTATGTGAGCCAACTCTCCACTGGAGTTATACAGTGAATAGTTATAGCCATGGTATTTCCATGGAACAAAAGCATATTTTCAGTCACTGAATAATAAATTGCAAGCCAGGGTTAAGCTAAGTTCATGAGCCAGATTTAGGTGAAGCTCTTTCCTTGTCCTCTTATCTATTCCAATAAATGTGTGGGATTAATCATAACTTATCTTGCCCATATAATGGAGAAAGATTTTGAATGCATATCAATCTAATATGGGATTTTTTTTCATTTAAAAAATGTCCAGTGAATTGTAATCTATATCTGAGCTGTGCATATTTTATTTTATTCAGGATGATTTAAACAAAAGTCATCATTGGCATGGCATGACACATGTTGTCCCTTGATCTCTTTTTGATTTATGTTTTCCCTTAAATATTCGTCTTTCATTGTTTAATAGGTCTGGGACACAAAAAGTGTTTCGAAAGAGATCCTTTTTTATGAGTGAGGAGAAATTAGCCGTTTCATGGATTCATTTTCACAAAAACAAAAGCACACACCATCCTTATTCTGTATGTGAATAAACAGTTATTCAATTCTACATATTTCCTTCATGAAATCTTAAAACAAAAACTTGATAAAGCAAATCTTTTTATATGTACAACAGGGGGCTGCACAGTAGCGCAGTTGATAGCACTGTTGCCTTGTAGCAACAAGGTCTTGGGTTTGATTCTTGGCCTGGGGTCTTTCATATCTGTCTTTGCATTACAGCGTAATCAGTAATGTCTTCTTTTGCATAATTCGGAAGGATACATTGTCAGGATGTCATATGCTTACATTGTACCCTCACCGTTGTCTTAAGTGGATTTGTAAATGTATGAGTGGCCAGCACTACACTTTGCGAGTAGGTGACAAATCCAAAAGCACTCTCAGACATCCATGGCCAGCAAGTCACCTGAACTAATGGAAATATTGCTCTGAGGCAAATAACAAGAGCTGATTTTGTCCTTCAGCCCACTCACATTCACATACAGTAACGATCCTCTGAGCAGCACGTCTGTAGGTTGTTTGCTCCCGAACACATGATTCATTCGCTACCATATCAGCCCCCACACGCTCCACCCTTGTACCCAGCTGCACAGAAGCATAATGGCCTTTTATCGATTCTCCTGTCTTTCATCGTCTTTCTTTCTTTTTTTTCTTGCCCTGTGCTCTGCAGTGCAATGAAAGGTGGTAAAAAAAAAGATGCTGCATGAGGAGAGGGGGACATGCTTGTTTTTTAACCTGGCCATCCAGGGTTCCAATACATGTGTGTGTCAAAGTTAATTTGTTTCCATGTGCATACAGATAAGTGGGTGGGTGTATCTGGAAGATGTGTTTGTATTAGTAAATAATGAAGCCATTTGAAGATGTGAAGGTTTATCAGTGGTTGTGTTCAAATTGAATTCATGAATAAGATATGCTTGTCACATATCTGCAACACCATAAGACAATTGAGAAGTCACAGCGAACTTCTACCTATTCACACATACCTGTTTTGTCCTGTCATGTTGCACAAACCTAAAATTAATAAAACATGTAGACAAAAAGAGTGCTTAATGTCATCATTGGGATGAAGTTTGTTTATGTTGGAGGTATGGTACCTACAACATCAGTAGCTAGAGCTCATTAAGACCTTTTTTGACTTTCTTCAGTCCTAATGGCTCATTAGGTAAAAGCAGACACTTTTCTTCAAACGTTGAGGCACACAACACAGAGTCCATTGAGGATGATTATTTACAGTGCTGTGAAAAAGTTTTGCCTCTTTGCAATTTCTTCTGTTTTTACTGTTTGTTCAACTCACTTGTTTCAGATCATTGGAAAAATCAGACATGGTAGCTAAGGTGAAGGCAATGTTTTTTATTTATTTGGGTTTTTTTTCTAATGTTGGCTTTATTTATTAAACCTCTCATGCATGACATATTGACCTTTCATTGCAAAGATATTGCAAAAAGATGACCTCACTGGGTCCAAAATTACCCATTTATGCATCAGAGGGTTAAGGGATAAATTTGTCCAAACCAACTTTGTGAAATTAAACGAGTAATTGCCTCGCAAGCCTATAACTGGTTGTGTCACTCTTGTAAGGTACAACTTCAAAAATGCTTTTGCAACACCTATTGAAAACTTTTTAACCTGCTCGTCTTTAGTGAATTGTTTTAATTTAGCTTCTTCTCTTATCCGTTTCTTTGTTGTTTATGTCCTTTTACTTTATGTCCTTGTTTTTTGTAACACACAGATTGTAGTCATAATAATCTGACATAACTGTCAGAGCTCCAAACAATTGCACAAAACATAAAAGCATTTTTTTCCTCATTAACACAAAAAGAGACTACACTGAGGAGAAAACCACTGACTCAGTAGTTGGCAGCCAGCAAACTGGCATCATAATATGACAAATTTATTGTTGTAAATAAAACATCTGTTTATATGCAATTCAAAAGACTGTATTTTTTTTCTTTTTTTTCAAATGTGCACCATTTCTGGCCCACAATTCAAGCCGTAGGAGTCAAATCAGTTTAAATACAAACTATAACTACGCTGAACTTTAAGGGCTAGAACATTGGATAAATCTTTTACTGCCTTTTCGTTGCAATAAATTTGTTTTGTAAAACCTACATAAACAATGTCATGATGAAAATTGAAATACACAAAGAAACAGTTTTTTTCTGTCTAGATTTAACAGACAAATCACTCACAAATTGTGTTAGCCGCGCTTGTTGGAACAGATGGTGTTTTCCTGTTAAAACACATCCACACATTGGGTTTAAAATGTCCGTGAAAAACGACAAGTTGCACATTTGAATATTAAATACATTTTAAATACAGTTTTAAAATACAGGGCTCATATGTGAAATACTATTGCTTTTGATATTTTTATGACACACCAACATCTTTTAAACTTCCTACAGATGGAATAAACAAATAATTTGTGAGCAGAAATTTTGTATTTTTGAGAGTTCCTATCTGGGATTTTATTTGTTTTCATTCTGTTCTTCACAGTTTTACTATTATTCTGTTTTTTTTGTTTTTTTTTCAGTAACACAAAACAACAAGCTGCCAGGAGCAACCAGTTGTCATTTTTTCCTCACAAAAGAAAAAGATTTTTGTTGTTTCTTTTGGAAAACTTTTTATTTTCGGTTGAGCCTTAAATCACATTTATTTTACCAGTTTGAGGATAACAAAAAGCAAATCTGAATGAACAAAGCAAACTCTGAAGACAAGTGCGCCTCTGCCTTTTTAAACAGCTAGGCCTCTTTATAGCCTTTCTTTGAGCTAATGATGTGCAGGATCCACTGTTATACCAAATCTTCTGACAGACAAAACACTGGGAGCACAAGGATTACCAGCCGTTGTCTTAATTGATCTTATTATCTTTTTCCCGCTCTTCTGTAAGGCCTTTCACTCTCGAGTGTATCTTGTGATATCTTTTAAATGACTGCAATTTACTTGAACATGTCATTGTCGTTCTATTTTATGTGTTTTTTCTCTGTATACTTGAAATGTTGCTGCAGGAGAACTGCAAAGAAAAAGATTCAGTTTGATTCTTCTTCACTTAAGCCATCTATGAAAGGAAATCATTTTCCTTTAATGTTTGGTTGTATGTTCTAAAATACAATATATCATGCAGAGCGGTAACATATGTTTAGGTGCCATTTTGAGATGTTTTAAAAAAAAACACTGAACTTATTATTAAATGTTTCTATGCATCAGAAGATCAGGGCTTCTTGTATCTGCACTATAGTAGTCATCAAAAGTGGTTTGATGGAACCTGTTGCAGAAGCGCAGGTACGTTTTGAGAAAGTAAACCAGATACCTCCTGTCCTTTCCTATGATAAGTCTGTTTCCTGCTTCCTTCAGTTGCTTGGATATCTCTTGTGAATTCCTTCAAATTTTGGAGTAAGTGCTTCATAATTATTAAAATCTGAAAGTGGTGAATCATTTTCAATAAACTGTGCCAAAAGATATGCTAGATATTTTTTTTCATTTTTAGTCTGCATGTATTTATGTTTTTCAAGAGGCCCAGCATTTACAGAACCAATTTTTAAATCAGTAAATACAACAGCTTACTGAGCAGTTTTTCTGTTTGGCTGTAGCTGTGAGACAAGTACTGTCAGCAAGCTGTCCACAACATGTCATTGCCATTATTCACACTTTTTCTCAATCGATTGGTGGAAAGAAAAATAATCTTTACTTGGTGCCAAAGACCTTTAAGCAAGGAGCAAAAACACCATTTTTGCTTTATGCCATCTATGTGAAAGTAAATATTACCACTGACAGCTACCTGCCATTTTCTGGGCTACTTGAGCATGTTTCAAAGGGGCACTTCATGTGAAGGGTCTCAGATGGTGACTATTTACTATAATTGCAGAAGATGGGACCTTCAAATACGTGGCATTTAAAGGTTGTCTTTAAGTTTAAGGGCACAGTCTTGCAGCTGTTTTTTCCCAGTGTTTCATGTCTGTGACTTTATGTACTGAAACAAAACTTCTCTTTCAGGCATTCTACCAAATGTACTTTTTTGCTGCAGCTTGAGAACAAAAAGGTTCCAGTTTTCAAATGTTAAAACATTATATTTACAGGAATGGAAAGTAATATTTGTAACACATTTTGAAACGGCTGAACCAAAGACTCCGGAGGTCCATTTCCTTATTAATTATATTTAGCTATTGGTCTGCTCAAGATTCCTTCAATATTCCTTCAACAAAAACAAAAACGTGCTTCATGGTTTTGATTACAAAATGATATTTTTATTACAACAGAAAAGCTGAAATTACTTTGGATAAAATCAAATAACATCTGCCAAAATGACGAATTTATTAGGGTCTATCTAAAAGGGGAATATGTTTTTTGGGTTTTTTTGTTTTGTTTTGTGATTTCTGATGATGTACAATGCTTACATAACTGGGTACACTTGAAGAAAAAAAGTACAGTTAATACCTGGCTGACATGTAAGGATATAAAAAGGGTAAAATTGTTAACTTTCTTCTTTAGCAGATTTGTGGTTGTCACTTTCTTTCTTCTGTAGCCTCAATTGCTCTCCACACTGCCTGATTTATTTAGCTTTAGTCAGCTCATGGAACCTTGTCTAATGTGAACCACTGTTTCCCCTCGTGTTTCTCTACAGGACACTGAGATCCTGAACACGGCTGTCCTCAATGGGCGCACAGTTGCTGTTCCTGTTAAGGTGGTCACTGTAGGGACAGATGGTGCTGTGTCAGATGTTACGGAGTCAGTGGAGTGCAAATCAACAGACGAACAGGTTATCAAGGTTAGTGTGTTGTGAAGCATCTGGTTTCACCTTGCCTGTAGGCGTTTCGGTTGTAGCCAAGGCATTTTTTCAAAAGCGATCATAAGGACTTACAAGTTTCACAATCGGACTGAAATATTACAGTATTTTAACTTGTACATAAAAATTGCCACAGCTGTTTTGGGTTTTTTTTGTTGTTTGATTGTGTTTTTTTATTGGTGATTGGCAAGCTAATCTTTCAGAGAACAACTAGATAGGAATTGCAAAAACACATTTGTACTAAATGTTGGACATTTTATTCAGCTTCTGGTAAGTAAATAAGAGGAATTTGTAGCAACCTCTTAGCAATGATGGGAATGGAAACACAATTTAAATGTATTCTTTGTTCTCTAAAATATATTTTTATCTCTGTTTAGAAGGCATTTTATTCTTGAATACTCTGTCTTAGCAACCAGGAAACAGCTTTTGACTGCAACACTGTAGTTCCCTCTAGTCCATTCTTTAAGATATCTTATGACAGAAAATTTCCAAACAGTTTTCCCGACAACAATTCATAAATTTCTGGTAAATTTCTGGTATCTACCATTCACATGCACTGAAATGACATGCCAATGCAAAATCTGTAATGTTCAGTCTATTCTTAGATTTAAATAGAATGGCCATTAAATTTCAGAAAGTCATCTGTGAACATAATTTATAAAATATAGTCATATACAATTTAGCGTACTATTTATAAAATGAATATGGCCTACTGCAACTTTAATCTTGCAGTTTTTAATAGTAAAAATCTGTGATTGGTCAAGTTATTTTGTTTCTCTTCATCTTCAGTCTGATAGTGTCAACTTCATTGTAATTTGTAGAAGCAGTGAACTTTTCTCCAAACTAGGCACAGCAGTAGCTTTGATATATATAAAACTATCTGAATGTGTCTTGTGAAACTTGTACTCTGTCAACATTTTGTGTGCTTGCATTTCCCAAAGCAACTTGCATGTTTTATAAAGTCTTTCTACCAGAACATAGTCTACTCACACTGGGTGGTGATGTAGTAACCATTGTTTTTCTACCCAGGCAGAAAAACAATGGTTGCTTTCAAAATAAAAGTAACATAATTTTGCTGACTAATTTAAAGATCATTTACATACAATTTCAGAAAACTAATTTAAAGAATATCCCAATTCTACTGGTTTAACTTCAATTGTCAATATATTCTGTTTCTCAAAAACGTTTTGGTTAATTTCACAAATCATGACGGTTGTTTGGTTTTATTTATTTAACTTGTAAACCATGGTTGATTGTTCCCTGTAGAAATTCATCAAAGCTCATCTTGTGATACAAAGTGTTCTATGCTAACTGGTCTTGTTAGTAGATCATGCCCCTTCTCAGTTTAAAAAAGTCACTTGATCTCACTGTCAAAAAGCTGCATAGATGTTATACCCACCAGTATGCTGACTATTACTTGCAAAGATCAAACACAAAATGAATGAAACTCAGTTCAAGTCAAGAACAAACTTTGAAAGACCTTCAAAAAACAAAAAAGAAAAAAAGACTGTGAAAGATTACAGGATAGTCTGGCTTCTTGGAGGCAAAATACATATGTATATATAGCAATAAATATGTAGTATAGATGATCAAAGAGAAGAGAAGCGACAGGGTACATCTCTCAGAGGGTTTCATTATCCACCGAAATGATACCACACATTGTGATGTTGACCTTGTGGGCCAGGGACCGGGTGCTCCAACAGCTCACACATTTGCTTTTGGGAGCAGTAAGCAGCACCCTGCGTTTTAAAACTAATATCAAAGGAATCTCAAAATAACACAGTTTTTGATCTTATTGTGTCCCGGCAATCACTGTTTTATTTAAAGTTTGAGAGTAAACTCTCTTTTTAAACTAGAGTGGATCCTCTTTAGCTCACTTGTAGGGGTGTCTGCACTCAAGCTAATGCTGTTTATTAATAGATATCTGACACTCAGGAATCTGGGAATAAATTATCAATGACGTTCAGTACCTTCAAAAAGTGTTGCACAGACTTCTGAAGTTATAAGATAGAAACATTTGCTCTAGAACTTTATCTGAGACAGTTTTATGTGTTTAATTTTTTTCTATTTTTGCAGAAGACAATTATGCAATTTAATAGTCTTAGATTAAGAATTTAATGTTTTTGTAAAGGGTGATATGTATTTTTCAGGCCATTTTAGGGCCATTTTATACCACAATTGAGAAACTATATTACATTCAATTATTATGAAAAGCCTGTATATATCAATCAACTTTAGAAAAATTTTATTTTGTATCATAAATCAGAGCAAAGCTATTGGTGTTTTTGATGAGGAAATAAAATTAGAATGTGTTGTAAAGCTCTAAAAAGTGGATTTTGCATAAAGTCTGTTTTGCTTATTTTTTCAGAGCATATCCTTTAAAGATGCCAACCGATGTAAATATAAAAGTTCAAGTCAGAATTTATTATAAATTTTATAAAAATTATAAACGGACGCAAATGTATTACTGTTTTTCCCCTCCAGATAATATGCTTATTTCTGTTACTCTTTAATATTCACAAATAAAACATTTTTTCTTTTAATTTTTGAGTTAGCATGCTCAAAGGATGCTAATAAAATAATTTTTTTAACATTGAAAAAAAAAACCTCCCCAGTTGTGCCTGTTTTCTGCAGAAAAATAATCTACTCAACAGAAGGTTGGTTTTCAAGAAACACCTTTTTTTTCTTTATGATATTGCCCAAAGATAGCATGTATAAAAAAGGACTGTGCCTCGAGCAAAACACTGAGAAACTCCATAATTCATTTTAGTGACAGTCATGCCCTAAACAATTAAGAGCTTTCCTTGATATTTTTATCCTTCATTTGGATATAGTAAGTGAGAGTCATAATATTTTGGAGCACTTCACTCACAATACAGTCTCAATTACAAATGAGAAAATTTGTAATTTTGATAAATTTTAAAGTTTTTCTATAAACTTATCTGTACATAAACCTTCCTTCTGCGGATAGGTTAACAATTGTTTTTGATCACTTTTTTAAGGATTTTTGACAAAACAAAGACTAGAAAATGGTTTGTAACAACATGAATCTTAAGGGTCAAGGAAAGTAGCAAAGGTTAGTAACTGATAAAAGAGAAAATATGATCTGATCAAAACCAAAAGTGTGTCTTGATAGTCGACTTGACGTAGATTTCAACATACAAGTTGAATGTTTAAAAACCACAAGATGTGACATGTACTTTGTGAAATTATTTGTTGTAAACAGATGATTTCGTACTTTTCTAGTGTTAGATCATCAAGCATTGTACATACATCGGCTATAGAAAAGACACAAATAATATCTAGGCTAATTAAGCCTACATTTCACTGGTGAAATACTTTAGTAAACATGCCAGCCAAACAGGATGTTTGACATTGGCTTTTAATCAAAAGTGATAAAAATAATTGTTTTGTGTCTTTTAACTAGAAATAGTAAGATGATATTGTCTGACACAAGATAAATTTATAAGTAATAAAATATTTTATTCTAAGTTTAATAAGAACTTCAGTCTGGAGCTTTGTTATTTGAGCCTACTTAACTAAACTTTATACCAAGAAACATCTTTTCCAGAGGTAACTCTTCATTTTGTATTAATTGTAAAATAGGGTGAAATGTAATTTATTCTCACTGGGTTCTCAGATATTTTTAATATAGATTTGCCCTCAACACCTGGCCCTGTGCTGTATGTCATGCTGATCAAAACCTTAATTTAGTTTTAGCCAGTTTTCTTTAAGTCATTGATTCATTCATCCATTCTTGCCATTATAATAATTGGTAAGGGACAAGACTGGCTACACACTTAATATTGTCCACAGTGAACTGACACAGATTTGCGTGCATGCATGTGTTTGTGACACCACTGATAAGAGGTAGAGAGAAATTGAGTTCCACTTTTTAATGCAGAATATGACACAATCTTCGTTCAATCTTTAAAGCTGTCACCTAAAATGCCTTCAATAGGGAAAATATTCCAATGTATCTGGAGTGCAATAACAAAGCTGAGAAAAATTGGAGACTTCCTGTTAAAAAGGGATAATACGAGCAAGAGGCAGATGAAGAAGATTCACTTCTTTATCTGCCTCTCGATCATGAGACATCAGAGTCTCCTAAGAAGGAAGACTCTGAAGGACTAATTGAAAACTTCTAATATCTATTATAATCCATCTTTTTTTTCAAATCAAAGTGATTTCATCCATCGACATAAAGTGGGTAATAACTACAAGACGTAAATTTCAGTGTCATTATTTATGTGTACAAATTCAAAATCATTATGGTGATAATTTATGAAATTGTAAACAGATTAAGGGTTCTGTAACAAAGGTGAAAGGGAAACACTCTTTCCCTCTTGAATTATAACCATTATTATCCACATTATTGTTTTACTGATCACACATATGATGTAATTTTATTGAAGCACATAACACTTTTCCACCATGACAATGACCTCTGCCTTTAAACTGTAAAGTCCCAAAAAGAGCAAAATATACACTCAAAGCATACTTCTCTTGAAGAAGCTTTAAGAAGGAGTTTAACAGGTGCTTGGGAATTTAACAATATGCAGCATAGTAATTACTGTGCAGGGAATTCCTCAGAATGCAACCTTACATTAAGGCTTTGTCAACTATTTTTACTTCAGCTTGGATAAGACCATCTTGGATAACAAAATTCTATTTAATAAATGAACCAGTACAGTGGCTCTTGCATAAGTCTGGTTAGGTCTTGTTAGAAACATCTAAATACGCAGTTTTATTTTTGTCCTTTATTCGTCTTTGCCTTAAAAAACATAATGTCTAAAGTTTTAAATATCCCCACAGCTTTCATATTACTTTTAATCTCTACTTAGGTTTGAACATGCATGAGATTTGGACAGTGCTCACTTTACTGATAATAAAAGTCGATGAGTGGGAAAGAATAAGGAAGAAGTAATGAAAGTGAGGAGGAGGAGAAGCTGACAGACACAAAGCTGTCAGTTTTGTTCTTCAGAGAGATGGGATGATCTTGCACCATTTGAGAGTTAAAGCTGCCAAGTCATATGCAAAGACGGATGACAGTTTTCTTTTGACTGGTTTGTTAGAAAGAGGCGATTGTCACTAATAAGGATTTGTGCTGAAATTAACAGTTGTGCCAATCAATCCTTTATAGATTAAAAGGATTACAATGAGAGAGAAAATTCTATCAAAACATTTAAAGTACCCTGTATTGCAAATGTAGAATGTTCTTGTAAAGGTTATGTGAATGTTATATTGACAATACTTACAATGTCCTGAATATACCATTCTTCATGTTGGAACTTCATCTGAGTAACTTTGATAGCTCATTGGATTTGTGCTTCATCCAGCTGGTCATTATTTAGTTCTGAGCATTTTGTTCTCTACTTGGATAAAACAGGTTGGTGTCTTTGCAGGGATCCATCTGTCCAGTTGGATCAAATTCCTGCTACTTGCCCATGTAATAATGTTTTTTTCACATACACATGTATGTCACAGCTACACATGATGCACCCATGTCCATGCAAAAAGTACTTACTCAATGCATATACAATGAATCACACCCACTGTTGGAAAAACCCAAGTAAGCCAAATAAATATTACTATGAACTAATATGTGAAATAGTTAGTGGAATAATAGTGAAATAATAACTCAGATTAGTAAATGAGTATTGAACATGCTTACTGCAATCTAATTAATATATATTAGCAAACACTTTTTTGGACTTTAAGATGTATCCTATTTTGAGAAAGACATCTGATTCATTTCTCAGTTGTGACTTTGACCAGAAAACCTCAAAAAGTTCAGATCCTCACAAGTTTTGCAAACCCCAATTGTCTGAAAACGAACGCATAGCTATGAGAGAAACCTCTTTGATACCAAAGAATGAGTTTTATGAATGCACCGAATTTTCAAAAGAAAGATAATGCACGAACCTCTTGTTCAAAATAGATTTTATTTTTGTTAAAAATAAACACAATCAAATTTGTGTTTGTGTTGTTTTTCTCTGTCTTCAGGTATCTGAGCGCTGTGATTATGTGTTTGTCAATGGAAAAGAGACAAGAGGAAAGAAAAGGGTGACACTCAACTTCACCTACAGTTTTTTGAGCGCACAGCTGGAGATGAGTGTATGGATCCCCCGCCTACCGTTGATCATAGATGTATCTGACCCCGAACTCAGTCAGATAAAGGGCTGGAGAGTTCCTGTTAGTGCTGGCAACAGGAGGTAGGACATGGTTTTCTGTTGCATTATCGCTGATCCCTCCTCTTTTAAAATGGAAACACCACAGGGCAGAGGAAGATAAGATAAAGCTTGGAAATAATGTCCTCACACAAACTTTACCTGGCCTTTTTTCACATTTAGCTATTATTCAAATGTATAACAGATTATGGGATGATATCTACTATATAGCCAGGCATTAAAATATAATACAACAGTAAAATGGTTTCAAACCAAGTGTTGTTTGTGTTCAGAAGCAATATTGAAGAAGTTCTGTGCTTGCATTAGGGAATGTTTCATGACTTGGTTAACTCAACAAAACAAGTCAGCAATTTACTGGTCTTGCAAACCTTTGAGGCATAATATGCAGCTGCAAAAGCAGTTCAGATGTACAATGAGTTCCAACAAATTCACTAGAGTGGTGTCCCAAAAAGTACTTATTAATAAGGAATACTGATATGGATTATTAAGGAGCTTTGGCAATACCAGAAAGTGATGAAAGCACAGCAGCCTGAATAGAAATATAGATTCTACTGAACAGTTATGCTGAAGAAATTAAATTAACAAATATATTATTATGTGGCAGTGGCAGCAGCCACTTACTTCCAGGTATACAGTAAATAGAAATCAAATTTATTTAAAAAGAAAATATTTTTTAATGTGAGGTCATAAATTTGGCTGTTGAAGTTGTGAGCACTTCATTGTTAAGTATTTTTGCATATACAACTGCATTAGGAGAAATATTACTTTACTTCTGTAATGTCTTTGAAACACTGCAATAGTTTATTCACCCAGTTTAATATATATATATATATATATATTATATATATATATATATATATATATATATATATATATATATATATGTTTCCATAGAGTTTAGGGCATTGAAATGTTTCAAATAAAGTGCACTTGATTCAATGGCCATCAGCAAGTTTTACTGTCTCAATAAAAACAAGGCATTTAGCAATGTTATGGAGAATAAAGGTTTATACAATAAATTGTCATTGTAAAACAACATCAGTAATATCAAGTACCATTTGAAAAGTTATTCACAAATATTTAAGGAAGACATCCAAGCAAATAAGATTAGCATACAATGTTCTCAGAGATTGCACAATACCCAAGAGCGACATTACAGTCCTTGCATAACTCTTGTAAAATGTTAAAGTTCATCGCAGGACAAAGACTATTTAAAAGGAATGCCAGAAGAATGACTCTCTTCCACTAGAAGAACAGGACTCAAATAACTCAGGTTTAAACATTTGTGTTCATGGAATAATGACTCTAAATACAATAAATGTTAACAGTGTCCAAAAATGAAACAAGTGTTTCAATGGAACTGTCAAAGTTCAGACCTCAATCTGACTGACTCTTTATTAGAGCTGTGCATGAATGAATTTCTGCAAACCAAATCAAAGCCATGTTTTTAAGAGCAGGGGCTAGAGGGGTGTATCCAACAAAATACAATCACCTCAAGCTTTTGCTGAAAGAGTATTTTCTGGACACTAGTGTATCCTGGGATCTATTTTATTTCTTGTGTTTCATAAATAATGGCAATGTGTGTTGGTACATAAAAGTTAAATTTACTTCCTTTAAGATGTTTGTAAGGACCAGATAGTGTTTTTGGGTTGTTGTTTTTTTCCATTATATATTTTTTGTCTTTACATGTAAACCTTTAGCATGAATGACATTTTTCCAATGACTGTTTATGCCGAGTTAAGCAGTTTTGTAATGCAGCATTTTCTTGCTCATCAGCCAGTAAGCAACAATGCTGATGTTCATTTTCAGAAGAGAGCTCATATAAGCCAATATTTCAGTCTGGTTGTTGTTGTTTATATTGATTGAATTTTGAGCAAGCTAAGCATATATTAAAACCATCTGCAAAGATATTAAATATCACCAAATCTAGAGCACAGCATTGAAGTGAAAATATGATTCATACTAACAAATTGAAACATTTACAGATATAATTTAGGTCCTTTTTTGAAATTCATACAATCTGATGGGTCTCACAGTTACATATAGGAATGCTTTGTAAAGAATGTATAGTTTTTGCAATTGAAAGAATGTTAATAAGACAAGTAAATGAGAGAGTAACAATAAAATTACCAACATTGCCTGTCCAATCCAGCTAAGAAAAAGCTCACCCACTTACACCTAAGTTAAAAAGGCCCCTCATTAAAGTCTAATACCTTGGCTGATGTGTCACTCAGTGTTAAAAACAGGCCCTGACCCCCATGTTTCTGCTGTCAGCCACTAATGTCACCTCTATGTGGACTGCTGTCCCCTCAACTCAAGTGAAGGAAAGGGGGAGGGATACGGTAAAGACAGGTTAGGAAGTAAGCCAAGCCACTGGGCCACAACATGTTAACCTGTCAGCACGTTTTCTGCCTGACAAGCCATGCCTCATTAAACCTAATAGAAACTGTCACGGTCATTCCCCCTGGCCACCTGACCAGCATGGAAGCAAGTAAAGCTTGGCGCATAGAGAATAAAAGGTGCAGGATAGAAGTGAACAAGGAAAAGTGAAGAAATTAAGCAGTTTTGGGGTAAAATTTTGAGAGTCACGTCAAAAAATTGAGAAATAACACTGTGGAAAACAACAAAAATATTAGATCACAGATAAAGTTGTTTGAAAGAAAGTCAGAATACGGGGCATCAATATTCCCGTGAAAATAATCAGACCCCTCACAGATTTAATCAGTTTTTGCATATTTCTAACAGATACAAGTCTCAGTGCAGCAAGAAATGTTGAGAAATGGCAAAAATAACCTGATGTAATACAAAATGTTATTTTTAAACAACGTGACCCGATGTGAAAAGTTATTGTCCCTTCTTTTCTGAAATGTTGTTCTTCGGCAAATCTAGGAGGACAAAACTATGTGTTTCACCAATCCTTAAAATAAACAAGAAGGTTTTTGTTTTACATGTGAAGTGTCTTTACATCGGGGCATGATGTGTTGCCTTTAGAGTAATTTTAACTTCCTTCATTTTTATCAGGCAATTGATATTTAAAATTATTTATTTGACAGGTTCAGCAGTAATTGAGTAGGGTTAATAACAGTTAGATCAGAAATAATCACAGTTAATCATTTAAGAAGTGGAGTGATTAATTGTTCATATAGAGATATGTTTGTTTGGATAGTTTGTTACCCTTAATGAATGAAATTGGCATTTGAAAACTTCTCTTTGTCTGAAATTAAAATTAGTTAATTATTCTAAAATGCATAAGACTGATGACAAAGGAAAAATGGCTGATTTTTTTAATGGCTCAAATAATGTTTATAACATTAGCAGTGAAAAACATACTCCATATACAACTCAACCACCAAATAGAGATTTGCAGGCAAAATGTGTGCACTCTAGTCATTTTAAGCATTTTTATTCCCTAAACTAGTTTCTTTCCTGCCTGGAATGATTATGTTTTAACGTGAAAAGGGATCATTTAACTTAAATCAAAAATAAGGTGTACCTTAAATCTGTTCCAAAATTCAGCTGTAAGTTTTGAAAATGCTTTCAGTAGAGGAATTTTAATTTGCTACAACATATGCTTTCTGAGATGGCTGTATCTGCAAAGCATTTGCCGAGGGCCAAATAAATGGCAGACATAATGAGAAATATCAGTTGCCCTTTTAAAGAAAATGAAAAAGCATGCTAGGAAGCAGTTTTCCTCTGCAAGTTGATTTTAATAGATTTTTTTTAAAACTCTGCCAGAGTAGCTTTGAAAAGCCAGGCAAGCATGCAGAAAACATGATTTGCAAGCATCCAGTCGATCAGCTTTTAAAAAGACATCTTTAGCTATGCAAATCCTCTGCTATTATGCTTTATAACTCAGAATCAATTTGAAATATATTAATGGTGTCTAACATTCATCTGCTTAACAAATTAACTAATAGATTAAATCCATTTCTCTTATTTTGCCACCTAGATATGAGAGAGTCACCGATGACAACGATGGTGCCTATGGACAAGAAGAGAGGACAGAGAATGCTTGTGTAGCCCAGTACCAGAGCACCTCTCTGCATGTCCTCACACAGTTTGTTACAGATGCAGGGGAATTTAAAGGAGCCATGGAAGAGGGCAGACTGGGTCAGCAAAACTTCCTGCTGGGTACAGACTGGCATGTGGATGTCACGCAGCTTGTCAAGGAGTCTCTAAGGGTGCAGGACCCGATGATTGCCAAGCTCCTGGAGTCAAGTGCTAATTGGACTGAGTTCTGGAACCACCAAACTGCAGGTAGTGTAATAGTTTCATGTTGAGGTTATTATTGGGGATGATCCAGCTTGTAATATAATACATGAGCTTTGCTAAACAAGAACAAGATGAGATTTTTTTGCCAATACTTAAGGGGAAAACTAGGAATAAGAATACTGTGTTTTTACAAGCATAGTAAGATGTTTGCAATAATTGTCAGTAAACTTCATGTCTGCCTCTCTGGAGAACCTGCAGAGCAGACCAATGATCAGGGACGACTGGGGCAAAGATTTGTTTGATGCAAAGCAGAGCTTCTGATTTGGCAATCTGAGATAAAGAGATTAGATGAAACATTTCAACATTTTAAGTCACGATCACCAGTTGTAATGAATAAATGCGCTGTGTAAATCTTCTCTCCACTCTGAATTTTCCTGTACTCCAAACTCTGTTGTCAAGACAGGCATAATGCATAAAGTTTCCATTTCAGATTTATTTTATAGTAGGAAACCAAGTCTTTAGGAGTCTGAGCTCCTCCAATATTAGCATAACCAACTTAGCATAACCAAATAGCACAAGCAACTTATCATAATCAAATCGTTAACTGCTTAGTATTGCAGAAAAATTTGTGATCTGACCTTTCGAATTGCTCTTAATTTTTGAAGTGTGCTTTGTATAGCTTCTTCATCTTTGATTTTTTTGTTTGTTTGTTTGGTTGGTTTTTTTGCAAAACTTCCTTAGTTAATTTTAGTCAGTTTGCTGTTTTTATTCCTTAAAATAAATTGTGATAAATATACCTTAAAATCACTTTGCTGAGCACCGAGGAATACCTTGATATGTATACATCCAGGTTCCTTTCAGTTTTGCCATTAATATTTCTGATTGTGATCCTGTTTTTTTCTAGTTAGATTACATAAAAAGCATCAGTTCTTAGTAAAACCATTGCAAATATCTTTTGGAACTTAGTGATTTATTTTGGTTGTATATTGGTGACTGTCCTCCCAAGATTAGTTTGACATAAACAACTCTGTATTATTATTATTTATTATTATTATTATTATCAGCATATCATGAATGACTTTTTTTTAATTTTTTTTATTTACAAAGATCTGCCAGACTCCCATCATTTTGGTCTTCAGTATGTAGGCTTGTGTCTATTCACCATAATCACTTTTAACTTTTCTGTGTTCAGTATATATATTTGCATGAATAAAAGCAAGTTGCAATGCAGTTAGACACTTTCTACTCTGAGAAATTCATGTACTACACAGTTTAAATTATTAGTGACAACAAATATGTATAAATTTCTATATTTACTCACTCTGACTATGTGCTATATTTTGGCATCAAGAAATTTATAATTTTCTTGCTTTGACCAAGGAGTTTTAAAGCATGACCTTAACATTTTTAATTCACAACACCAACCTGAAACTTTTCATTCTTAAAAAAGCAGTTGCTGGTGTAAAAAAATAAATATAGCTGTCTCATAGTTGTCCTCAATCTGAATTATTTTGTCCTTTAGCTGTCATTGCCACTATCAAGAACTTTAAATCTTTGACCTTATGAACTCTTTTTATGTTGGAACTCTATATCTTAAAATAAATACACTAACTTCAGTGCTGAGTTTTCCAACCTCGCTCTTTAAAAACACTGCTATATGCCTGTGCACACTCACATACATGCACAATAACAGAAACAACAGTTTCCATCACTTTATTACAACCACTTTCCAAAACTATCAGTGACACTCGTTTTATGAAAAACAGTCACCTTGAGGTCTAGACAGGAATGAGATGTTAGATGTGATGTTCATGTCAGGCTTTTACGGGCTTTTGTTCTTTACTGCTGTGTTGAAGGCTGTCTCCAACATGAACATTGTCCCGAATAGCAGAGATTGTTAAAGATCACATTTATTCTGCCTGAACGCAATAACAAGTCTTCTGATTATCAGAAACGTTTTATATGAGGACTCATGAAAATCTTACATGGCTCTGATTGAAGTTGAAGGTGAGTAAGTTTGTAACCTTAGCTGACTTATATGTTGGAGTTGGAAGTATAGTGTCTAAAATTCATGACTATTTATTCATCAGAACTTGTAAAGTAACCCTTAAGGGAATATAATGGAGTGTTTGCATGTTCTACATATGGTAGTTTTTAATTTGAAAGAACATACATTTATTCAGAAGTGAATTTTGGCATAAAACCACAACTAGCAATCTTTGTATACTTGAATTTTGCTTAGAATAGTTGCTTATTTATGTACTTATATGTTAATTTAAGAAGGTTCCTTTGATTGTCTGCTGATTCCATTCAATTTACTTCTTTTTTGTCACTGATTAGTTGTAGTCTGAATGTCCCTGGTCTATCAAATCCTAAAAGAACAGTACCAGGAACAACAACTTTAACACAAGAGTATGTAAGCAGGTGGAAAGGGAAAAACATTTTACCTTTTTAAAATGTGAAAGTGCATCTTCTTTCAATTCTAAAATACTACATATTTATATGATTTAAAAAGGTTATAAGATGCAATGTAGTCTGCACCAGAATTTAACATCATTTTAATTTATCCTCAGATGTTCAGGAACAAGACAAATTTGACACTGGTCAGTTAAATCAAAATGGCAAAGCTGTTATGAAGAAAGAAGTATGTTTTTCTTTTTCTTACAATTTTATAGGCCAAGTAGCACTCAGGTACTGCTAATCAAATGGGCTTGATTAAATAGTCCATAAATGAAAGCGCTTCCATTGAGACAGCAGTTTGGGCATTTTGTTGTTCTTGTGAGTGCAGGTGAGTAGTACAATATCAAAGTGAACACATCTCTCGTTACCTTAGGAAAGCAATCATTGTTGTCCATTAATTGTAGATGGATTAACAAACCATGAATCTATCATTCTACTGAGAGACAGATAATTCACATGTAGAAATGATTAAAGACATTTTCCAGTCTTTCTTGGAATGGATGTCTCAATAAATCTACCTCAGGGTCAGTGCTAAAGGACATTGTTAAGAGCTTGAGCAATACAACTTCCCTGCTTAAATAAATAAAATCATAATTTAAACTGCAACTTGTACTTGCTTTGTTTGATATTCAAATCTGATGATCTGAAATGTTTAAGTGTGAATAAAGAAAACAAAATCTAAGGGTGGAGGTGAACACTTTTGTAGCTCTGGATATACATATATATGTATATATTTCAGTCAAAATGAGTCTGAGGGATTTATTAACCAAAATCAGATGTGAACCAAGGGTATAAGCAAAACTCAGAGAAAGATGGTAAACAACTCAATGTTAAAAAATATATATACACGTAGCAGAAAGAGAAATCCAGCCAAAGGACAATAAGCATAATAGAATCATAATAAAGAGAAGTGGACAGACAAAAATAAAATCAGATGAGTAAAGACACTAATTAGAGTCTGACAAAACAATATAAAATAAAGCTACTAATTCCATGAAGTAAATAACAAATTTGATGCTGAAAAAGGAACAAGCCTGAAAAACAGCCAGATTGATTTCAGTGAGGCATGAACACTTAAACCTATCAAGTTTACACCTGCGCCATGTCTCATTCTATCAGTTTTTTATCACGTAGCTCAGTGCGCACACTGAGCGCGCACACACGCACGCACGCTTCCTAAAACACAGACACAAACACACACCAAAGATTCACAAACAATCACAGTTCTATTTATTTAATGATACAATCAAGGTCTTGCTCAGGAGACTACAGACGTCACTCTCACACCATAAATCAACGCCAGCTTGACATTTACAAGACAACATAACAAGAGGAATACATCTCTGAAACGCAGACCATAAAATTCCACCTCTGCTGCAGGGGATTTCCTGGTTTCTAAAACAATCCATGTTTCTTATGTTTCTATTTGCATTTCTGTATCATTATGTACATTTGAACTAAATTGTGTAAAAGTACCTGTGTATGTATGCGTGCCTGTAAGCGTGTGCGTGTGTATTACATTACCTTAAACACTTAAAACACTCTCAGTTAAAGAACACATTTGTAGTTTTATTTGGATTCAATAAAGATTCAGTTTCAAATGCATTTTGACTTTTCAACAGATGATCCTGTGCATTGAATCTTTAATTTTTACCAATATTGCTCTGCTGAAAGTTTTATTGTGTTGCAAAGGAAGAATGAATCCATTTAAGGAGTCTGACAGGTTATGGATGGGACAGTTGCATGCAACTTATTGTGCTGATAACCTTTGCAGATGTCAGTGTGTGAGTCAGACACACGTGGTTTGGGTAATAATAGGTTCCTTGTTATACTGTTGGTTGCTCATGCCTAGATCTAGGTCTAAAAAGTGATTTTCAGGGGTTTTACGTAGTGGAGCCCCCTTGATCTGTACAGAAATGTTATAAGACATGAATTTGACAGGTCTAAATTGGAAAGGGTGAGGCTGGGAAGGCTGTTTAATTGCCCTCTCGGGACAAAATGAAAATATCTGTAAACTTGAAAAATGATTTTAGAGGAAGGGTCTTGACATACCTGAAAGCCTTATAGGAAAATTTCACAATTATGGATGTAGGTGAAAGGCAGAATACACAGTTTCTGTGATGGTATGGAGGCGAGACATGGTTCTGGTAAAAAGGACAAGAAGTGATCTGACTGCTACGAGTATTATTGCAGAATCTTGGAAAAGAGCCTCGACATGTTGGGATATAAGCACTGGAAAGTCTGGACAGCTGCTAGTTGGTACACAGATGTTAGGTGAAAGAAAATATTATCTTTTTGAAGGAGAAACAGAGCATCAGCAGAGCTCTCTCTGAGGTGTCAGACATTTTTATTGATTATAAGTCTTAGTTGAAAGATATTTGGAGTGTTGTCTTTTAATAGGTACATTATGCACCTTTTATTCTCCTGTACAGTGATTAAAGAGTCACTTCAAGAGTTCAAGTATGCATTTGATGTCTAGGTAACCACAAATTAACATGAGTTTTTTATTGTTTATACCTCATAGAAGTAGCATTATATATAAACATAAATTGAAAGATTCATAACATTGGGGTGTCAGATTATTCTTTTGCTAAGGAACCAGTCAATAATAAAGGAAAACAAAATAAAACGTGTTATTTACTTTATTGCACCTTTAGGTTTTGTCTTGTATCATCATATGCATTTCTCACAAAGCATTTGTGTCCCACAAATCATAACCAATTGCAAAGACATTTTAAAATGCATATACAGTTCAGAGACCACAGTATTTGCTTTTGACAATTCAAGGGTATTCATCCATTCACTTTGACTGTGTGAGAAACAAAAAGGGAAAATACAAAAGGAGGAAAACGGGGTATTGGGTCTGGACAAATGAGGCGGTGATCGGTGCTGACAGTTCATTATGGCTGGTAAATGCAGCTCTGTGGGGGAGGCTGCAGGAAATACTGGAGCCCTAATTGGAGCGGATGGAAGAGATTCTCATCTCAAAACAATATCACAGCTATTTACATGCTTGAACCTCTGGCGACTCTGAAAGTTGGGACATTCCTTTTGAAGGTGTGGATTAGAATACAGTTTTGTTGTGGGCTTGGGGGATTTTTGTTTTGCATCTTTTCACAAGTATGTGCTTTTTTTTATCAGAACCTAATATACAGTGTGTGCACAATTATTGAAGAAGTCTTATGTTTTGTTAACCATCAATACACTACAGTGTATTTGGTCAACTTAAAATGTTAATAAACTTCAAATATGAATGTTCAAGAACATGTAGGTTATTTTTTATTTTCATCTGGTTGATTGAAAGTCATGAACAACTAAGAATTTTCCAAAAACCATTTCTGACATAAAAAAAGAAAGAATCAGGGACCCAGATACTCACCCCTTTTTCAATAACAGTGAATGACTTATGGAAAAAACCTTCTGTCAGTTTCCTCATACCAAAAGTTCAGGGGTTCAGGGATCCATGCCATAAGTTACCTATCCAGCTGTGGACCCATCCAGCTAGTCTGTCAAAAGTCACTCCCACTTTATCAGTCCAGATAACCTTTGAAAGATCTGTCTTCAGATATTTCTTGACCCAGTGTAGACACTTGAGTTTGACTGTCTTGTTGGTCAGGTTTCAGCTTTCTTTACCTTGGCCAGCTCTAAACATTGTACACTTTTACGTGCACCAGGCAGGTTGTAGTATGACAGAACTGGAAGATAATGAGCTCCTGGTACCTTTACTCTTGATTCTTCTCAAATTCTTGGCAGTTAATTTGCATCTTTTTCTCAACATGTTTCTTCTGACCTTGTTGGCTTTTTGCAACAAAATATTTGATGGTTCTGTACCATCATGCCTCAATATCTTAGCAATTTCAAGAGTCCTGCATCTCGCAGACACTTTTGTTCATTTTTTGTCTCTTCGGTGTCAGTTAAATCTTTTTTATAGCCTATTTTTGCCAAAAAGAAAGATGTTGACAAATAATTATTCACACCTTGAAATAGGGTATTGACATCAGTAGGACACAAACTTCCTCATTATACAGATACAGCTCGTCTGCTATGCTTAAAAGTGTATTCTGGATACACTTCCAAGTGTATACCTAAAAATAATATGGTTAAAATACTATTTTCCCTAATAATTGTGCACACACAGTATAGTGAGGTTTTACCATATGCAACAAGTATAGGCTTGCATGTAAGTATTGCTATCTTCAATAAAATATACATAATTAACTTCTTTAAAAAAAAAAAACAATATATATATATATTTTATTAGCAACTACATCAATCTGTTGTCCTTCCAGAAAATGCAATAATAGCAGATTGTACTGGGATTTATATATATATATATATACACTTATTTTTATTTCTGATCACGACTGAATTAGAATCTACAAGAATGTCTTGATACCATAATATTATATATAACAATATGTGTGATGGTTTCATATACGTTACACAAAGTTAAATATAGTGTGTCAACTACTCCACGTTTATGTGAAAAGTTCTCATGATAAGAATACTTTTTGCAGCCACTGTATGCAATTTTAGAAAATGTGTTGTGCTGGGTTTTTTGTAAGACATGGTGCTGCATGATGTTATGGGCAATTAAAAATCTTCAAAATTTGTTTTTTAACTTATCTGCAGTACAATAGTAAAGCATATTTGTGAAATTGTTAGCTTACAAACTATTGGAAAAAATAAGATGTTTTTAAAAATGCTTATTTTGCCTGCTGTAGGTTTTGTCCCCTCTGACGTCATCAGTCCTGGCGGAGAGGAGCATCAGGGTGGTGGATGACAAAGTGAGTGTGACAGAGCTTGGGGTGCAGTTGGTTTCTGGACTCTCTTTGTCCCTGCAACTGAGCCCTGGAAGCAACAGAGCAATTGTTGCTACTGCAAGCACACAGGAAATCATAGAATCACCGACGCAGGTAAGACTCTATCCAAAGAACATGTTCTTTCAATTTGTCATGTTTCATTAGTGTTAAAAATATTAGGTCCTTGTATTACCTGTTATAAAATTTATATTTTTATAACTAGTTCATGGCTGGATCAGAGTCAGTGTTGGTTTATTTTCACTTAGAATATTTCTCATATATTAAAGTTTTCTTCATGTTGTTTGAAATTTAGGGAACAGTCATGACCCATGAGAGTTGTTCAGCCTTTTTACCATAATTAAAACCCACTACTGTTTCCCTGGAGCCTCTGGTTTATTTTGGTCCTCATTTGAGGGGAATCTGTAGCTTTCTATTTGTGTTTTTGTTGTTAATTTCCACACTACTGGTGTCACACCAATTTAAATTTGCTATGTTCTGTGTTTGTTTTCACAGGAATCCCTCATCAGTGCCTGGCTTCAGTTCAGTGATGGATCTATGACTCCTCTGGACAACTACAACCCTGCCCATTTTATCCTGGCAGCCACATCTCTGGATGAACAGGTGGTAGTTGTGCAGCAGAGTGCAAAGTGGAAGTGGCCTCTCATTTCTGCCAAGGGGGAAGGCCAAGGTTTGCTTGTGCGTGTTGAGATGAGTCCATCAGAAATGTGCCAGAAATCCAAACGACGCTCTGCTTTAGCCACAGGAATGGTGAATGTACAGGTAAGGTTTGGCCAGTCAGAGGAGCAGTACAGGCAGCCAGGAGACAAAAGGACACTTCCAGATCCTCCATATTACGGTGGCTCTATCTCTGACATGGACACTGGGTTAATAAACCGTGCAGCCACGACCATTAGAGGCCAAATTCCAGTGAGACCTAATGGGGGTCGCTTATCGTCAGACAGTGGGAACAGAAACTTAAATGACTTTTCTGAATACCCAGAGCTTCCTCGGAGTCGTAGTACCGATGATGACTTATTGCCATCACGACGTGGCCTGACAGACCTGGAGATTGGCATGTATGCACTGCTGGGAGTCTTCTGCTTGGCCATCCTTGTTTTTCTCATCAATTGCATCTCTTATACATATAAGTACCGAAGTAAACACCTATCTTTAGAGGCCACAGAGACTATGCCCCATGCCCATGACTGGGTTTGGCTTGGTCAAGAGGAGGGGCTTTGTCTGCAGCAACAGCATGAAGAATTGACTGGTACCTTGGAGGAAGGTAGTCAGCTTTTAAATGGAGGTATCCAACGCACTATTATGGATGGTGGCGGAAGTAGCTCAAGTGGAAGAGATCTGAGGAATGAATCACTTAACTCACCGACCACCAAGAGGAAGAGAGTGAAGTTCTCCACTTTCTCTAATGTAAAGTCTAGCAACGGATGTCCAGTGCTTAGCCCACTGCCACTGGTGCAGACCAGTGATATAAAATGGGTTTGTCCAGACATTGAGCTTGGGGACTCAAAGGATCTTAGGAACTACATGGAAAAGCTTAATGAGAATGCAATTAAGAACACAGCATAAGAGGTTCTGGGTGTTTCCGTTGAACTAAAAGAGAAACTCACCTGAATGCCTTCATCATACGGAGGGAGAGAATGGAAAAATATATATGACAGAGTGAAAACCAATCTGATGGCTGTAGTTTAACTGAAGACCTCACCTTGAAAACTGAGTCAATGACTCTCTTACTTTTGATTCTATAACAGTTCTCAGACATGGTCAAGCAACAATTTCCAAGACTTGAATTTCCACAAAACAGCATAGCTAAAAGGTTCAAACGTGAAAATTGTATTGTTGCTTAAATGTATGTTTTTTGTCTTCTACTAAGCTCAATATTCCTCTTTTGATTTTACTTCTCGTTTTTCTTTAAATCATGTTTTACTGTTCTAAATGTGGTAATATTATTTCAAAATATATTTTTCTCTTATTTTCTAAAGTTATTGTCGGTCCTTTGCTATGAGTTGACAATAGAGCCTATGAATCAACAATCTGAAGCATTTTGTACTGTATATAAATGCAGAGTTTGACTTAGAGTTACTATATGTATGGTAACATTTTGTAAAGTGCTGTTTGATTTGGTTTTAGTTTTGTTTAGTCTCCAAAAGTCAGATCCATGCATGATGTTATTTATGAGGAGCCATGTGTGTCTGATCTGAAAATATGTAGATAACTAATACTGTTACACTTGGAGACAATTTAGTACTGTATTATTAAATTCCTTTATCATGGTTAAGTTCTGGACTTGTATGTTTGTATTAATTGAATTAAGTTTCTTGGTCCCCACATTTTCTATTTTTGTGTATATTTAGAGATCACTCTCTGAAAATACAAAAGTGCTTTACTGCTGAGGACGTTTGCTGAGCAGCTTTACTGCTCAGCAGTTTTGAACTTCTCAAATTCTCTGCAGAATTTGAGAAGTTTTGCAGAAGAAAAACTGTGATTCCTACCAAAACCACAGAAAGACAATTGCGTGCAACGCACCACAAATTTATGGACGCTTCTGGTAAAAATGCGTTAAAAGCTTTGGAGACTTTTTTATCTCATGTTACCAATTTCCTCTCTGGGTATGGTGGCAAGATAAACTCGGGTTCTTGTTTATCTTAATTTCCCTTGTTTTGAAACTATTTTGCTCAAAATGTGGATATGGGCAAGTTTAAAGTATCAATGCAATTAAACTTATTTCGTATTAAACCTATTTCGTGTGGATCAAATGGACTAAAGCTGGGGACACATTACAAGATTTTTCACCCGAGTTCACCCTCAATTATTAGGTTGGGAATATTTACTCTGTACCAAGTCAACAAGGTGAGTTGGCATAAAAACCTTCTTGCCCAACATATGATTTAGACTTGAATCTACAAGCCTAAGGGTGGAGCCAACCTGATCTCTGTCATTATCAAAACATGTTTGAATATTTCTGGACACACTTGGAACTGATAACCTATCCACATACTAACGTGTGTTACCAATAGCCAGTGAAAAGGAGAAACTGGGAACAAATGTTTTAAGAAACAGACAAACAAACAAACTACTTTATTTGTTACTCTACCACAACAACATTATATATGTAAATGCTCTGGCCATAATGCAAACTTTCAACTAACAAATTACAATTTTAGAATAATAAAAAGAAAAAGCACAGAGAAATGCCTAGATATTCAAGAAGAAAACAGTAAAAAATATTCCAATTAAAATAAACCAAACAGTTCACATTATTACACATAAAATTAATGGAGCTTCATATAATGAACTGTCATTGTTGAATGATTAAACCAATTTATTATTCACTGTTAATGTTTATTTGTCTGATCCAGCCAAACATTTTAATGTCGTCTGCAAAGAGCTAACATTTTTTGATGAAAGCTAGCATTGGTTGTGAATCCAAGACCTACAAACTCACAACCTCAAATACCAGTTCCAAAGCCATGTAGTGTGTCCCCAGCATTTTTGAATGATACGACCACTTGTGTTTAATATTTGGAAAAGCTACTCAGAGAAATTGGTCTCTGTGTTATGTCATATTTATTTTCAACGGATAAGCGGCAGAAGATGGATGGATGGATGGATGGATGGATGGATGGATGGATGGATGGATGGATGGATGGATGGATGGATGGATGGATGGATGGATGGATGGATGGATGGATGGATGGATGGATGGATGGATGGATGGATGGAAATAAGTCCTTGAGAACGACTTAAATAGTACTTATAACTCTAGTCAACTGAAATTACTAAAATACAGATATTTTTAAATTCTGAAAGAACCATTTTTTAAAATGGACACACTTGGAACTGATAACCAACTGTTATCTGTTAACATTTTCTCTGTCACGCTATAGCGAGATTTTAATTATGCTTATAAATATTTTGATCTTTTTTTTTTATGATTTTAATATTTGTTTTTTAGTTATTTCCTAATTTTATTTTTTTATTTTATTGGGGTTTTTTTCCTTAAATTTCATGTGCCCTCTCACCCAATGAATAAATGTGCTCATTTTAACAGCTTTTCAAAATGTCCTCTTTTTTTAAGCGTGAGACTGTTTTTACATTTACACATCTTTTGGAGGGGGTGCAACAAGTATTGTGAAACTCATTTTCTCATAATTCTCCATTGTATTTTATCTGAGTTAATATCTAAGCTTTCACATCCAACTAAATTGTATCCCAAAAAACTGTCATTGGAATGAAAATTTTTAAAATTTGAAATTCATGAATTTGTGATCTCTATTCTGGTACAGGTATTATACTGGTTCATTCTTTTTGTCTTTTTGGAGAATTGGCTGCTTAATTAATTAAATATGATGTCAACTCCTGCTCTTTTGTGTGATTTGATAATCAGATCTCAGCCTACCAATTATTATTTTATGTAAATGGTTCATTAGTAGCAGTTGCCACCATTATTAACTTTTACTGTAGCTGACAGCTGAAAGTGAAAGTCTGGTTCACAATGGATGGGAAGCAATCAAGATAAAAATGTAACTTTTAATTTTGAGGCCATAACTCTGAGCTGGAAAACACAACATTTCTATTTTGCAGCTGGACAACTATTCAAAACCTGTCGTCCACCTATAGATGGAGAAAAACCATTTATCTTGTTGAATTAAAGCAATTCTGCTAAGAAAAGAGGGAAAAAGTTCCCTTGACAATCCAGAAAAATCAAATTTTTTTACCAGCTTGAGCCACAAAAAACACACCCTCCACTTTCTGTCTCTTTGTCACCGAGGAGCTCCCAACTGCTACCGCTGTCTTTCCTTCCTCAGTTCTTGCCGACTTAGACATCTGCCTGCGTCCTCCATGCTCAAGCGCTACGTATCTTTCCTGCTGACACAAAGATCTCTGAGTCTGCACTCCAGCTCCAGTAACCGGGAACTCCTGTCAGGTATAATGGAACACAACCCTTACACCATTATTAACCATCTCCTGTGACATTTGCCATGTCGATGTATTACTACTTTTCTCATTTCATAAACTTTTCTGCTGTTGCTATGACAACAGTCCTCAACACAGCCCTCTTTCCTTCCTATTTCACTCTTTTGACATGTTGTGTGACGAACATCACCAATTACACTGCTGAAATCAGCAGTATACAGCTGAATGTTTTTTTTGTTTTTTTTTCAGTACATGCCTTACAGTCTAGCAGAGGTCTTGTTACAAGATCAGATTTTTACGTCGAATAAATGCTCCTTACATGTTGTGAGCCACAACATCTCTCCATTTATTATAAAAACGTAGCTCTCTTAAAGCTGCTTACAGTCTTATCTTACTCTCCGCTCTATTTAAATTTGCAATAATGCAACACAACTAAGTATAAAAAAGCTTGCTGTATTAGATTCTGAATATTTCACTTAAAACGTGAGAAGTGTGATTTGTTGGTGGTACAAAAGTAAGTCAGGTGTTCAATAATACATTTTTATGAATTCAAGGTATTCTAGAAAAAAAAACACAACCAGAATGTGGCACTATAGGACTAGGGAAAGATTATTTGAGTCGGATCAAATCTTTTTAGTCAGGAACATAAAGTGCCTTGACTTGAAATTGCTGAATGACTTGAAATTCTCCCCATTTTGTCAAATCACAATCATGAACTAAAGTGTATTTATAAGAATTTTAATACAGACCAGCCCCGGCTCCAGTAGAGTTTAGGGCCTGACAGACAAACACAACATAGTGCACAACTGGAAAGTTGCAGGAAATTGGTGTTTTTCCATTTTTTTAGCAAATTAAATTGGAAAAATCTGCATTTATACTTAGCCAATCATTAAAATAGTCAATACATTAAAAATACCTCACCGCTAGTACAGCTGCAAGTCTTTTGAGTTTACCACTACCACCATTGTATGTATAGCGGCAGTCTGAATGCATGTTGTGTACAAAAGTTAATACCACTCAGGACTGCATTACAGAAGGAGGTTGTAGAGGTGCTATCCATTTCCAGGCACATAGTGCCTTCTTATAGCAAAATCAGTAACTATCTTACATTCAGTTATTACAAAAATGCTGTTTATGTCAAAAGTCACTTAAAAGACATTTGACTTTGCAATTTGACAACTTAAAATGTCTTTAAGAAACACTTACTGCATTACATTTCCGACATTCCCCTTCATCACAAAAATTATCCTCCTTTATGCCATCCACATCTGTTTTAGGAGAGTTCAACTGAAGTGTAGTTTGTTTGATGGGCTTAGTGGAAGTGCAGTTCTCCCATGTGATTTTGCATTAGCTACTAGCCATGTCTTGATTTTATTAAGGTGAATTCAGTGAGGGAAACCCCTGAAACTTGGAGGACAATTGCCCTTAAGGACCAAAACACACAACCTCTGCATAAATTATGCAAAGTAAGCATGTAAAAAATATTTTCAACAGATTTCAAGTTGGCTGTTCATTCTGTTTTCTTTTCTCATCAACAACCTTTTTTATGAAGTGCTTTAACGCCAGCCGTATCTGAAACGAGGTGCAGAACAATGAATGTTGTGAACTCTTCAACCTCTTTGTTCCTTTGTTCTTGTTAGCATGGACTCTGGCCAGTCTAAATTCCTGTTGCCCTGCTGCTTGCCTGCTTGTTTGTCAATGGTTTTGTGTAGATAAAGTGAGAACAATGACCCTACATTCAGTATGTGCCTTTGTTTCAACCTGATTTATGGGTTAGGATCATGCAATTAAAACAGGTTTGAATGCAGTGTTGTTTTTCCTCATTTATAATATGCTGACAATAACAAAACAAGATTCATTCACTTTGGCTGTATTTGTGCCTAAAAACCAGAGCAAGTTGAATCAAACTTGGAAGATACTAAATGACTTGTAGCTCTGAACAGGAAGCCACTAATTCATTAGGGGGAAATATATGTTGGCAGTTTTAGGTGGGTGCAGCTGCTCATTGGAAATCCCAATGGTAATGGCCTTATTGAGCTCAAACAGGAGAAGAGGTTGCAACACTTCCTTGTGCTGAACTCTGAGAAACACTTGTGCACCATGGTATCAGTTTTGTGCCTATTAATCTCTATCAGTAATTGTGTTCTTAATAGGGCTGCTGTAAATGAATATTTTACTCCTTCAACCAGCAGCTGCTGGAGGAGAAGGCTGCCGTTCTCCAGGCATTGCACCAGGCATTTTAAGGATGCTTATTGGTCCCCCAAAACGATGAAAACCCGGGAATTATCACCAATCAATAAAATCGCCACAGGCCGAACTTGAAACTGGATGTTATGCCACTAACACTTAGCTTTTGTCAAC